TGGACCCCCAGATGTTTGGCAGCAAACTTTGAACAGAAGGAAAAAAAGGAAGTTATGGTGTGTGTGCTTCAGGGAGCACCTGACAGAAAGCATGGGTTTCAGCATCTGCTCTCCGGTTCCCTGACACCAGCAAGGTCACCTCATCCAGACAAGTGGGCCAACATTCGGGGAAACAAGAAACATTATGGGAATGTCAAATAGTAAAAGATGTGAGTTCTGAGAGAATCTAAGCTCAGATATATTGGTTCAAATAAATTTACACTGTGAAAGACAGTTTTCTGTTTAATTTCCCAAGACAACCACTTTCTCTGCCTTCCCTCTAGGATCCAAAACAACTGGATTGAAACGGTTTTCAAATGAAACATGAATACTTCAATTTATTTTAAAATGATAATTAGCAGTGAAAAAATAAATTGTATTCATTAAAATATTAGAAGTCTGTAAAGAGTGAGGATAAACTTGTTTTTCAGCATGGATGATGGATTGTATTAGTTACCATGTAATTTCTGAGGTTGTAGTTTTGGAGGTAAATATTTGAGACTTTATTTGTGCAGGTAAGGTTGAATGATAACAAGTTTTATTACTTATCAAATACTAATGTGGAAGTTAAAGAAAACTAACTCATGAAACAAATAAAGAAAATAAAGAGGAGGAAGGAAATGGAGAAAGGAAGCGGTGAGAAAAAGACTACCAAATGTAACGGAAAGAATAAAAAGGGGCTGGGGAGATGTCTCAGTGGCTAAGAACACTTGCTGCTCTTCCAGAGGACCCAGATTGGATTCTCAGCACCCGTAGGAAGGTTCACAGCCATCTGTAAATCCAGCTCCAAGGAACCTGATGCTCTCCTCTGACACCTGGCATGCATGAGGTGTACAGACATATCCATCCAAGCAAAACATCCATTCACATAAAACAAAATTAAGAATTAAAATATTTAAATTTGTCTACCAAAAGAATAAGCGTTATAGTTGGATTTTAAGTAAAATAAAGTAACTCAGTGTAAACAAATGGAGGCAAGCGAGGTATGGAGATACACAACCGTAATCCCAGGTTTCTAGAGGCAGAGGCAGGCAAATATCTGTGACTGTGAGGCCAGTCTGGTATTCATAAAAAGTTTTAGGTAAGCTTGGGTTGCACAGTTAAAACCTTGTTTCAAAAACTAACTAAATTAAATTGTAGACAAAGGTGTGGCAGACAAATCTGTTACAGCATGAAAACAAAATTAGCAATAGTAATATTAATTAAATTAAAAATAGTAAATGAGAAAATGAAATTAAAAATATTAAATTGGTAAAGGTAACATTCCAAAGAAATATAGTAAAATCTGTAATATGAAAAATGTTGGGAATTTAATAAAACAGATACAGAAAACCAATGAAATCACAAGACTTTAATAGTCTTTCCAGCCAGACTAGCAAAAACCCAAAGGAAGCAAAAGGTTCATCATTCCTTGAGAGAAAAGCATTATGCACAAAAATGTGACAATGTTGTAAAATTCAAACTCTGCCATTTGCTACAGACTTCAGATATATGTGAAGAAAGACCCTTATTAGATCATTATTCATACAGTCAAAAATTATTTATTTAATGATATATAGTTTAAAAATCACACAAACACACACACACACTTTATTCACAGGACAGGGTATGGTGGCTAGAGAAAACAAGCTGTATCTATATAAAACAATAGAAAACTTCAATCATATTATGTTTAATATAGAAAAGCAAATTGCAATACATGTACCACTGATGCACGTATGTGTATATGTTCATGCACACGATCCATATTTAATATACTGTATATCATCTTTATTATTAATCTTTTCTCAAGAAGCCTGGGGGAAAATGGACTTCTTGCATATATAGAAAGCTTTCTTTTTTTTTTTTTATCTCTAGCATACAAACTGGTTTTAAACCTAACTGGAAAAAGTCAGATCCTCCAGTATAAAATATCACTAGGCTGAATCAACAAATAAGACAGGCAAGCAAATAAACAAACCCTCAAAAGGTCAATAAATCGTGATGTTTCCTGCCACTTGGCAGATAGATATTGAGCATTTCCTCTGGGACAAATTTTTTTCTCACCATGAGGACCCATCAGTACCAGTGACAATGATGGGGTGGGGGTGGGGGTCATTTTCCAAAATCCACAGAAGCAACATGAAGAAAACATTTGCTTCAAACCTTTGTCACGTCTAGAGACTAGCTAGATCAACACGATGCGTCAGTTAAGCAGGAAAACATATAATTAAGTTAAATAATGAACAAGTACCTGAATAAAGATTTCTAAGGAAAGACAAAGAAATGATCAAGTGGCCTATGGAAAGGCGTTTGGCATTAATAACCACTGGCAAATTCAGTTTTTCAGTTAAAAGGACTAAGATCAGAAACTCTATCATACAAAATAGCAACAACAGTTTATGTGTGTGTTTGAAGGTCACTACAAGAATGGATTTTAAATATTCTAGTCTGGCAGGATGTGCCAGGGAGGGATGGTGAGGATGAAGACGGTGAGGTGATGGTGGTGAGAAATGTGTGTGACACTGCCCTTCCACGCTGTAAGTGTGTAGCAAAGCATCAAGCGGTACAACACAAACACACATGCTTAAATGAAAACGAAAGTGAATGTGGCAGGCTGGACGATGACTCAGCAGATACAAGGTGTGGCTGCCAAGCCAGACAATGTGAATATACTCTCTAGGATCCACATGGTAGACAGAGAGAACTGACTGCCACAAGTTGCGCCCTGACTATCACACACACACACACACACACACACACACACGCACCACGGCACATATGTGCCTATAAGCACATACACACTCGTATAATAAGTGTAGTAAAAATTATTATAAAGTTTGCTGAAATATATATCTGTTTAAACTTGTCTACAACTTTTTGCCTTTTCTCTTGAAAATAAAATTAAAATTATGCAGAGGGTAAAATAAAAATATGTAATCTTGAAAAATTTGTTCTGCCATTTCTTCATTCTCTCTACATCCTCAGAAGGATACAGCAGTCGTTCCCAACCTTCCTAACACTATGACACTTTGTAATACAGTTCGTCATGTTGTGGTGACCCCCGAACATAAAATTATTTTGTTGCTACTTCATAACTGTAATTTTGCCACTGTTACAAATTGTAATGCAAATATCTGATATCCAGGCTATCTGATAAGTGACCTCCAAAGGAGTCATGACCCAAATATCAAGAATCATTGGATTAGAGGCTCTGTCAGTGGGTCTTGATGGCCAAAAGCAGGGGCACTAGGGAAAGTCCCATATATTCCTTCTATACACAAGCTGGAGTCATGGAGATGACTTCAACTTTAAACCTTGGAAATGCGCTTGGAGTTTGTTAACTGGCAATAGAAATTGTCAATAACTTGATGCTCCCTGACCTACCCAAGCTTGAAAAGCAAGATTGTGGGAACTGCCTGACGTCTTTAAATTCAAGAATAGGAGGAAAGTTAGTCCACAAAATAAACATTCAAAGATTATTTCAAAAGAAACAGAGCAGCCTCCCGACCCTACGTCTCACTTGTATTGTTTGGATTACGTGTTGTATGTTTTCCAAGTGCACATTTGGCCTTTGCATTCCTACTCCTTATGAAGTAACGTTCTTGTCTTCATCCTTAGCTAGAGGTGTCAGAGTGTCACAATGATCAATGACCCTGCACCTTTGGGGAATGACTGTGAATGTTTCTGGTACAGACATCAACGTTTATGCAAGAGACTGCTCTGCGTTGTAGAGAATTCCAGAATTGAGAGAAAGACTCATGTTGACATTCCCTTCTAACCAGTCCTCACTCAGAGGCTTGATTCAGAAACCTGGGCTTCTCGAGCAAATTGTCAAACGTGTTTGAATCAAATCCTATTCCTTTATTATTCAGCCAGCCAAGGTCCTGGGTGGGTTCAAACCCCAGTAACACACACACACACACACACACACACACACACACACACAAATTTAGCCTTTGCGTTTCTAGCCCCCATGAACTACACATTTGTCTTCTCTGTCCTTCACTAGAGAGGACGTAGTGTTTGATAGCAGCTGTGTTTCCTTATCTCAAATCAAGGCAAATATTGTTGAGTGCAAAGGTCATAGGTATAAGACATTTCCATAGGGATAGGCCTACAAAAAGGAGTAGTTAATGAGCCTCAGCCAGTGACTTCATTCAGTATGTAGACTGTTATAATTAATTAGTATTGGTCTTATTGAGATCCAAGATTCACCCCCTAATGACAAACAAAGACAGAAGATATTCTGAGAATTGGGACTCTGCCTGAGGACCTGGTTCTCTTGAAATGTTCCTTAAAGTCTTCAGGGTAATTTTAAACATCTGAAGATTTGTACCAGGGCAATGCTGCCACCCCTGGTCTCTCCTACCTTTCATAATTCAATAAACCTGGTGCCATGACCAGCCTACTTGGTGGCCAAACAGACTGAGGAAAACACGATAGATGGGGAACACTTTTTGTGTTAGACTCAGCTCTTCTAGCACAGAGCAACTGACTGATGAGCAACTCTTACAAAATAAAGAGGGGAAAGAAGCCAAGAACCCTTACGCTTACATAAGACATCCTGGTAGTTGATAGCACAATCTAGAAATAATTCAAAATGCCTGTCAGATACCTCTTCTTGCAATTACCTTTTACAAAATGATTTTTAATCTATCTAGATTTTAAGCTCATTTAATCTCTGAAAAGATTTTAATTCTCCTTACTATTTGTTGATGATAAAATTATACCTACCATTTAATACCAATAAATGATTATCCTAGCTTAATATTCTACTTATTTTTTGACTTTTAAAATGCTGGTATTTGGATCTTACATGTCTGCTTTTATTATTATTTATTTTTGTATAAAAAAGATAACAATAGTAAATTGAACTTGAGAGAAAGTGACAAATATCTTGACACATAGTGCTGTTTTTTCTATATTTAATGTTTCAGTGCTAATGAGCAGCCAAGAAATGATATTATTTTTCCTTTCAGCTGTTTACCTCTGCAAGAGAACAATGCAAAACAAAGCAAGGCTAGAGCTAGCTGATTATGAAGCCGTAAGTACCAAGGATGCTCATACAGTGGTTAAAAAAAACCAGCACAAATCAAGCCTTTGGCCATATCTGGGTTCTCTGTGCCTTCTTACATGGATGAATCATAAGGACCAGGCTTCCCAGCCCAGTGCTTTCATGACTCCTCTCTGTCTGCTTCCTTTTTTCCCCTCACGTTAAGGACGGTAGAATTCTAGCATATGAATTCAATGTATGAAGAGAAGTACATCTTATTCTTTTAGACTAACTTAATTGTAAAGATTTCAGATACATACTACATACACAGTTCATAATGTCTGAACTGTGAGGATGGAAAACTATTTACATTGGTGGCCGATTTATCAGGACCGACGATTGATTGCTCCCATCAGTCGAAGGCAGTCTAGTGTAATTTGTTCTAATGATGGCTATGTTGTGACAACTAATTCAGAGTACTCTGCACAAGTAGATCCTGGGCTTCCAAAGATTGATAACTATTCTCAGGACCTGAACCAATCGATTGGATCAGTAGTGGGAAGGCATTGCTTTCCTGTCTCCATAGGATGGGCACAGAAAGATCCAGTGAATTTGTCTTCAGTAGAAACAAAGGAATGTTTGGTGCTTTATACTATGCTTCCTGCAAGATGATTGCTATTGATCGGGACTGTAGCTTGGTTTGTAAAGTCCTTGTCTAACACACAAAATGCTCTGTTTTCTATCCTCGGCATGAGATATATATTAGGCATGTTGGCATATATATACATGTATGTATGTATGTATGTATGTATGTATGTATGTATGTATTACCCTCACTGGGGACCTAGTTCAAAGTCAACTTCAGCTACATAGTGAGTTAGAGGCTCGCCTGGCCCCATGAGGCCTATGATTTGAAAATTCAAGAAGCACACTTGATTCAGATTCAGAGCATATATAACACTTTAGAAATTCTGAAAGGAACACTAAAATATATTCAGCTGTCCTATGTTTTTTCAGGAGAGCCTTGCCAGGCTGCAGAGAGCATTTGCCCGGAAGTGGGAGTTCATTTTCATGCAGGCAGAAGCACAAGCAAAGTGAGTCATTGTGAGTCTGTGGGGAGATTTGCTCAGGTGCAGCCTTCTGTGCGGAGGTGGTCCAATTAGTCTGCTAACTCTTCATTGTTGTCACTTTGACAGAGTGGATAAGAAGAGAGACAAAATCGAAAGGAAGATTCTCGATAGTCAAGAGAGAGCATTCTGGGACGTCCACAGGCCTGTGGTGAGTAAACTAACATGCTTCCCTGAACTCATGTCTCAGGGTTGGAAGAAAAGGGTGCCCTGGATCAGACTGGGTCCCTTCACAGTATATCCCAGTGTCTGGGTGAATTAGTTAAGGAAAGATTGCTGCCTCAGTATAAGATGAGACTTCATGCAATGCATATTTATAAAAGGATAAGTTTCTCCCTGATGTGGTTAGACAGCTGACTCTGAACTACCAAGCTTTGATGCTGTTGCCAACACTTGAAAGGGAAAATCACACTGTTAACAGAGCAGTGGGTTTTTTTATGTTTACTATTTACTTTTTTGGCTTGGTAGAAAAAGTTATAATCAAAATGTAATTGATTGCCTTTATTTTCTTCTTTATAACTTATTGATGCTTATTGTATCTCTTGAAAGTTAGCATATTATTGAATTTAAATCAGTTCACACTTCCTAAATTTTTCTTTTTGCATTTGTTATTTATTTTGTGTATGGGGGTTGGAGCACATGTGACGGTAAGAGAACAGCTCTTGGGAGTTTATCCTCTTCATGTGGACGCCTGAAGCTGAACCTGAATGTTAAGCTTTGTGGCAAAGGCCTTTACGCTCCGAGCTATCTCACCAGCCCATCAATTCATACTTTTAATGACTCAACTTCGAGTCTATATAAGAACCTAGCTCTTCTCTCTCTAATATTGTCAAACCAAGTGCCTCATTAGAACAAGTACTGAATGTCCTTAATACCAGACAACTTGTGGAAGCTGTTTAAGTGTGGTTCAAGCCTCCACAAGATAGCATATCTGCTGTGCATGGTACCACAAGTATGTAAGCCTAGCCCTCAGGAAGTTGAGGCAAGAGGATTGAGTTTAAACTCAGCTTAGGATACAAAGCAAGACCCTGCCTCTGGAGAAACAAGCAAGAGGCTAGAGAAATGTTTCAATGGTTATGAGCCTATACTGCTCTCTTCCACAGGACCTGGGGTCAGTTACCTATAGTGGGTGACTCCCAACTGCCTACAGCTCCAACCTTTGGGGTTTCATCGCCCTCTTTTGGCCTCCATGGAAACTGGCTTTCAAATGTTCAAGCATGCCTGTATGTGTGTGAGTGCATATTTGCACACATGCGCATGCACACGCACAATTAAAATGATAGTTAATAATGAATCAAATAAAAAGATCACATGTCTAGCCTCATTTTTGTTTTACAAATATATCTTTCTCTTCTATGAATTTCTTTAACTACAGATAGATCACTAGAGAATATTTATATAGGCATTACCAGAATTAATAATAGGTTCACAGCAGGAAAAAGAATTCACAACAGATGACTTAAAGATATCTTAAAATTTCCTTTCAACTGCCTTCTGAGTCAGAAAAAAACAGAAGGAATCCAGAGATGTATTTGCAAATGTATGTATTTCTACTCAGACAGCAATGTAGTTGTTAAGTTTTATTTTGAATTTGTTGTCATTTGAATTCTCAAGAGAGAAGAATTGAGCTACCTGGATTTTCTATTCAAAGTACAGGTGGAGTTTTACTACTTTTGGTAAAGAAGGAATTATGAGATCATGCTCATAACCATCATGAGGATACAAAACAGAATTTCTCCTTCCTTAAAGCAGCCTCCAGACTCTAGAAATACTTTGCTACATTCGCTGTTTTCCAACACTGTGTCCGCATTTCCTTGGGCAGCAAAGGGAGGAAGGATTCATGCTTTCAAGGGGTTCAGTCTCCCATGTTGAAGAAGACAGAGAAAAGGTCTGTTCACTTCATGGTGGGCTAGAGAACACACACAGAAGGAAGTGGTCAGGGATAATGCTTCTTGAAAGACTTTCTCTTGATCAAAAACTCCCTTCAGCTGGACTCCAGGCCTAGGGGTTCCACAACGTTTCAAAACAGCGCCACCTGCTGGAACCTCGCGATGAAATCATGAGCCTGCAGAGGGTGTTAAGTCCAATATCCTCTGCATAACGCAGCATAGTCCCATGTTTAATTATGCTATCTTATTTATCCTTTTTATGCCGCCCTGAAGCCATAGGTTCTATCCCCCCAATAGAGATATCAGGCAAATCTTTGTTGTCTGTTTTCTAAAGAAAAAGACTCCGAGTGTCCTTGTAAAACACAATCAAAATCAGGTGCTTAAGCTATATAATTAGATTTTCCTGTAATAATTTACATTTATAAATATATGAAATGTCTTTATTTTTAATAACTGGAAATTGAGTTACCTGAACAATATTGTTTGTTGATGTTTTAATAAAAATATATAATAAATGTAAAATATATACACCTAGTATCAGGCCTTAGAACTTGCTGTTTCCAGCAGAGCAGATTTGTTGTTTCGGTTATGCCTGCCTGGTCTTGTTTTGATCTGGTTCCATTTATTTAATCAGGAACAGAATGAGCAGACAGCAATTGCAGCTCAGCATCTCACAGGCTTAGAGCTGATGTTATAATCTAGTGTGTGAATTAAACCTAGCAATGTAGAAAATACATCTAATGGGGTTTTAATATGATTTTTTTAAACCATGAGGTCATCCTTAAGTCAGATGAGAAAAAAATAATCTGTTTCTTACATTTAATACCTTCATGAAATAAAGTTAGCTTCTCTAAGTGTGTCAGTGTTTACTCTGGAAAAACCAAATTGAGGTCTAATCAAGGAGGCAGACTCTTTACTTGCCAAGAATTCTCAGAAACAGCTCAAGAACACAGTGGGAGAAACAGATTAGGTTTTATTATATTGACGATAATGTGGGATTTGTTTTTCTTCTGTATAGTTAATGTCATAAAGAGCTTATTTTATTTTATTTTTGCAGTACTGGGTATATGTATGTATGCACACCCGAGGGTGCCACTATACTCTCCCATACATACCAGTGGGAAAGCCGGGATCAACACTGGATATCTTTCTCTATTTCTCTCCCCACCTTATGCTTTTTGAGACCAGGTCTCTAAGGGAACCTGCAGCTTGCTCTTAAGGTGGATTGAACAGCCACCGAACCTCTAGGATCTGCTTGTCCTGGCTCCCACACTGGGTTAAAGATGTGTGCCATCACGCCCAGTTTGTGTGTGGGGGCTGGGGATCCGACCTCAGGTCCTCATGCCTGTACTGTGAGCACTTTCCCCACTGTGGTGATTAGCGTTGGTTTTCCACTGGACAGGATATGAAATCCCTTAGGAGACAAGCCTACAGGCATACCTGTGAGAGATTGTTCCCATGAGGTTAACTGCTGCGTGTGCTTTTGTGGGGCTGATTTGATGAATTTAATTGCTATGGGAAGAGCTATGAAAATATGAGGCCTCCACTTCACAAGAACGGAGTGACATCACGCACCACTGCCTTCTTCCTGAATGCAAAGACAGTGTGGCCAGCAGCTTCACGGTCCTGCCACATGGGCTTTCTCACCATGAAGGACTATCCCCACTGACTGAGAGATAAACGCTTCCTTCTTTAAGCTGCTTTTATGGAGTCTTTTATCACGGCAACAGGGAAAGTCACTAAGATACACACAGAGACTTCTCCTCAGTCTGCAATAATGCTTTGGAGAAGATAAGAAGATGGGGCATCGGGGAGAATAGGCAAGTTCTCAGATGTTGATGACATGGTGTCTTTAGGAGAGATTTTGGGGAATCAGGAGAGCTGGAGTTAATGTTTGATACTTGAGTAAGTATGTCATCTGTCTGCTGCTGCATAAAAACTCACCCCCAAATGCGGCAGCATGAGACAGGGGACAAGGCTGGGTGGCTAATTTATACAGACTCTGAGAAGCAGAAGGCCGGGAGTGGTTTCTTAGAATGGTGTGGTTCAAGACCTCTCATGATGCTTCAGTCCAGTCCTGAATTGATGGTGATTGCAAGACAATGGCCACAGAAGCCTCTTCATATCAGGGAAGGTCCCAGACAGTTTTCCACAGCAGCCCCAAATAGTCAACCCCATATGTGAAGCCTCATTTGACTACGTTTTACTACAGGGATGTCATGCTAAAGTGTCTCCCACTGTCTCTGAGTGACATAGACCAACACAAGTATAATATGGGTGCCAGGAGCCTGAAGTCATTAGAGACCAAAACTGTTCCCAGGAAAATCTGGGTGAATGGAAACATTTTTATTTATTTATTTATAATTTTTTTTTTTTTTTTTTTTTTTACTTTTTCTAGGTTTTCTGTGTTGGGGGATAATCCAGGGCCTTACATAGTGAGATACACCCTAGCCAGAGAATTTGAAAATTCAGTGGGAAAAGAAAATTCTAGTTCTCCATGAATAGAATCTTTTTCACTATTCATAATCCTTGCAAATCTGATGGTAGGGTCCTCAGCAGGAGGGGAAGGAAAGCCAGCAGAGTGAGGCTGGGATTTTTACCCTATCACAGCTGCGCCAGGTGACGTCTTTGCCAAATCTTCGGACGAATGTTGAGGAATCTTCTGTAAACAAAAACTACGCACTGCCCGCTGCTGTTTACATTTTCTTCATGCTAACCTGAATGACTGTTAAGGCAGAGCTAACAACAGTTCTCTTCATAACAGGGACAAAAACCACACCTACCAGGTGAAACATGAGGCACGTGATACAACTGGTCTTGACTTGGGGCAATGAGATGGACATGAGGTGGTGATCGCCTCACTGGTAGCACCTGGTAGGGCCTGCTGTATTCAGGCCCTGACCACTGCCAGGACCCACACTGGACGTATTTCTGAGTCGATGAGTGAATTAATCACACCTGTTCTCCTTTACCCCCGACAGCATCTTTTCAGATGACATGAACCATGCATGCTGAGTGAGGTTGCCAAGCCCAAGGACCTGAGTTCAATCCTCAGGATCTCCATGGGAGAAAGACTGAACTGATTCTCACAAATCATCCTCTGACCGTCACACACGCTCCCGTGGCATACTCATGTTCTCCCTACAAATAAATAAATATGGTAAAAACACATCCACTTTTTTTGTCATAAGCTCTGAGTTTTGAATCAACCCAGATATCAGTGGCCAGTTCAGAGTCAACAAGCTATCCTAAAAGTGGTTGT